GCTTCAGGAAGCTGATGTTTCTGTCTCTCAAAAGTCATTTCGCTCGAGACCTTTGACAAGCAAATCCCACGATCATCGCTTCATATGGAAGGTGGCAAAAGTCAACGTCATGACATCAACGGTGATAATCAGGTCGGACATCTGAAGAAAGGACAGTGCAGTGCGCAGGCGGCTCAGTTTGCCGTCATATCCATCAATTAATCAATAGGAACTTTACTATCTGTTGGCGGCACTCTGCTGGCGGGAATGTGCACTTCCCGCTACGCATCGGCTCTGGTTCAGGAACGAAAGTCGAGCTGCCAGGTACTTACAAAACCCGGTCATCAATTGTCCGTGTTATACGAATATGCACGGCCATTATACCACGACCTGCAATAGCAATAACAGTTTATCTAGACAAGAAAGCGGTCCAAGCTGCAAGTGGCAGGTGATAACCCACGCAGTAGGCCGAACAGCTTGATCGACTTGACAGGATTTCGAGGCGAATAAGCTCGGAGGAAAGGAACAAGTCATAATTGGGCAACATCTTCAGCGAATTTCAGCACGAGATTATATGAGTCCGGGTTAAACGCCACAAGCTCTTTACTAGTCACCGTCCCATTGAGCTTCGTCGAGAAAAGGTGAGTATGAGTTCGTATGAAAGCCACAGGGGACAAGAATATCACCCTTTAGTTGATAAGACAAGCTGTCCCTACATCTTAACAATTTGTGATATCGATCCGGGGCATGGGGCAACAACATTGTAAAACGGCTCCCTCTGCCGGATGCAACAGTCGATCATCGAATGGCCTTCACTCGATGGTACGGCTGGCACCTACGAGCTCCATATATCGTAATAGGGTGATGTGCGTTGCAACGACCCTGTTCAACGACCCTCGTAGGATATGTCGCACCTGGTGACTTAGTCGGCACTCGTAGGTGTGATGGTACGGTTGCATCCCGACCTCTGTCACTTACAGAACTGAAATGTTGGGGTCAATAGATGAGTGTATGGCGTTGGCTTGTTATTGGCCGGCTCGCTGTTCCTCTGTCATGAAAACATAACACCATCCCTCAGCACCTCGTGGTCTTGACAAGTTGACGGGGACCTTCGGAGTCACCTCGTGCGGCTTCTTGAAACATACCAAGTTATTGATTTAATCGTCCTGGTATTTGGTAGACTGAAATATCGGTCATGCCTTCTCTCACGAACCAGAACCAGCACTGCGCTTTGTGCTAGATACACCCCCCCCCCCCATCACTGATACTCGATCGGGACACATGCTCCGTCCAACGTCTCAATGGTCCAGGGAGCTTCCCGGCAGTTCTGTCAGATCTGTCGGAGCCAAACCCAGAACAGGCTTTTGCGGGGAATGGTAACTGACGGCCTTCATGAAGGTTTTGGTGATGCTTTGCAACATAATTGAGGTTGGCTAGCTCGTTGTCGTCGAGAAACCCCTACACGATATTAGTCAAAGCCAGCCAAGTTCGAGATGACTAGTGACAAAAATGCTATGTGTAATCTGTCAATTCTGATCGTGGGTCTACACAATTCTTCTTTCGGTGACCTCTTTCGTCGTCACAATTTCTGCATTTGGCGCTCTGCAGCACAGAAATCACAGATCATCAACCTATTTTGGATTTGACCGTTCTCCGATCTCCTCCCAGTGAGCGGAGGTTTCCAGTCTTGTCAAGTCTACGGTGCATGTTTTGTTACGTTCTGGAAAGCTTCATTCCGTCTTCTCCCAACAAGCCAGTCGGACCCGCCGCCTGGGTTAGGCCGCTCTGAGAGGAGTTACAGTGAGAAATCCTTTGGCATCAGCAACCTCATGCTCTCCAGCATGATGCCGCTGCCGTGCTAACTTAGGAAAGGCGAAGACATTCCCGGACGTTGGGTTCTGTCTTTTTTCGAAAGTCAAGTGACAGACCCGACAACTGACACGCTCGACGTTTTGGCTGTCATGCAGGGTTCGCAGTGACCACTAGGTTACCAGTGTGGCATGTCGTCATCTACACTGCCCGCAGATCAAACGGTTTATACCAGTCGATTGTTTAGCTGGACTCTCCCCACGAACGTTTTGCCCTTTCATCTCAAGTTGAGCCTGGCCTATGATCCTCTCATGACCCTGCATGAGGCGAACATCGGCAACCATCTCTTTCAGTTTCACGGCTCGGGCAGACTTTCCCCTGCCTCTTTCAGAAGACCCTTTGACTTCGTCGTCGTGCTCCTCAAGTGGCGAGCTCATCAAGAGCAGAAGACTGTCCAGTTCTTGAAGTCTCTTTTTGACCTGTACAACATGCACAAAATCATTCCGAGTGGCTTTGAAACGATCTTATCATAGATAAGCTTGATTGGCTCCAGTGGCGCTTTGATGAAGTTAAAGCTCGTGCACTGCAGATGTTGATGCGGGGAGTGGAGTTGACTGCAGACAAAGCGCCTGCGGACTCAGTCTGATGTACGACGTCCACGCCGTTAGCTTGCATATGTGTAGCTTATTTTCTTCGGATATCATGCAATCCTGTCGCCTCATTCGTCCTGTTTTGCGCAGACTTCCCGTCTTTCTGAAGCCAAATTTTGTCATCCATGTTTCGTCTTTCTCGAGAGCAAACAGAGAGCAGGTTGGTCATCACTTGCAAAGGATGCCTAGAGGCAAGCCACACGAGGTGACAGAAGACGAGTGTCTCCGGTCCATATGGGGGTCACACCAGCCATACAAGCCTCCGTCGGTTTTGGATTGGCGGCTGCTAAATCGGACGAAGGGTCTTCACTGTTACAGGGAAGATGAAGCGGCCTTTCCAAGATCGGATCCGTGTTTTGGATCGCGGAGATACCGAACCGTTGGATAGCCCTTCGCACTTATCACGACGCATTCGCATCTGAGGCCTGATCTGGACGCGTGAGGCACATGATTCGCCCTCCAACAGAGTTGAGACAGGGACCAGGTGTCTATCCTTTTCATGCTGCACCGCCTTGGATACAACTCTCTGCCGTGTTCTCGAAGCATCTCAGACATCATCTCATGTACGTGGAAGCCCCTGCCGTCCAATGCCTCGAGAAGCCGTCCCCACATCACTCGCCACTGCCCAATGCTGTCCCGTCTTCCTTTCACTTTTCTCTGCTCATCGTCCTACCGCTGCAGAAGCAGTGGGGATCTCTACAGGTCCCGCGCAGCTCATTCACGTGGATGAGACGATGGCACAATGGCGAGACCTCGACCCGCACGGAAAGCCAGCTGCACGAAAGTAGGGGTGTCCTTGCACCCCATGCGAGAAGTTGCTGGTTCGGGACTCGCTCGGATGGGGGATGGCAGCAACGGCAATGCAGTGTCCATGGAGTGCAGATGCGAGATGAGTTGAGATGAAGAAGCATTTCTGAGACGACACGGCAATGCACGATCTTCTGGAAGTTCTGCTGCAGATGACGAAGTCAGAGAGGACGAGGGGGAATAGGATAGGGGGACCAGAGATCTCCTCGAGGATGCTGTGCAACGCTCATTGCATCTTCTGGAAGGCCTCGACTTGGTCTGCATCACATGATGTTCGAGGCTGTGGTGGAGCTTTTCGCTGGTCTCTGTCATGTCCGCTTTCATTCAGCCTGTGACGTTGCTCAACAGGCTGTAAGAGGCTGTTGATGATGTCTTCGTGGTGTTTCGTTGCCCGTCCGGCCTCAATTCGGCTGTATATTATCTACTCGCCTAGCACCAAGACGTCTTGGGCTGTGAAGATGCCTAAAACGAACACTTGATGTTGGTAAACTTCGATAGCAGTCTGGTTAAGCATTCTAGCCTTTTCCTAACTTGTGTCTGAAGTATATTAACAGTTGAGCCTCCCCCTTTTCAGCCTCACACACTGCGGCTGGTCAAATTGAACTGGCTAAAGCCCCTTGCTAGACGCGATTGTGTTTGAATTTGATAAGATGCGGGCCATGACTTGCAATGTTAGAATAGCAGCCGCCTGGGTACGTCAGCTGGATATCTGTGGATGTCAAATAGCTAGAATACTTAAAAGACATGCCTTCCGCTGTAGCTGTCGCCTATAATATCTTCTTGCGAAGTGCAATACATTTGAGGAGACCGTCTAAAAGAACTCGCGACATTCATCTGACACCACCCCGTATCTGAGAAATCATCGACACGTTTTAAGAAGAGACCCAGATTTGTTTAGAGGCTGCTACATCCATCTGCATCACCCAGAATCGTGTCGAAGTGAAAGATGCTAGCCAAAGACCAGTTAAATTCGAGTATCAACAGTCGAATGGACATATCTCATGGATTAGTTGTTCGAGTTAGAAAAGGGAAATGCTCTATCTCAGCCGCAGGACGATTTCCAATCCACAAGCATCCTTCCATGGCAAACAAGATAGCGATAGCTGGGCAGAAAAGCAAAGTCACACTATTCGTCCATGGAGTGCATTGAAGAGATGGCACGGCGTCTTACATTTCATCTTCACGATGCCAGAATCTGATTGCATCGTGCTATCAAGCGACTAGAACATCACCTGGTATACTACGTTGTTTAGAACCTCTTCTTCTTAATCTCTTATTGATAAGCCGACAATGTTAAGCAGTTCAAGTAATATCGGCTTACAGCACGAAGTCTGATACAGGAACGTTCGAAAACGTCGTCAGATTGTAGAGGCCCTCACGAATCCTCCGCAAGCTCGATGACTACTAAGGAATAACTGAGAGAAAACAACTACCAAGGGGTGAACCAGCCATTGAAACCCTCAAATATATCATTTCTAAAAACCATACTTATTGTTTGATATGGTCTGTCGACCAGTGGCAGTTGTGTCATCACACATGGCCCGCCCCCCTGAGATCATGAGGCAACAAGGCTGTTGAGCGACGACCATAGGAACCTGTGGTCATCTCTTGAACTGGATCCAGAATATCAGAATATGTTGAGGACTAACATAACAGAGCTCGCCAGCTCAGTCTACTAAGACAGAGGAGAAGCGATCATGAGTTGGCTCGTTACTATACGAAAGGGGGTGCGAGCCTCTGACATTGCAATAACGATCACTCCACAAACGTGCTCAGGGGAATCGAGCAAGCCACTGCGTAATTCGGCATATCCACGACCTCAGTCATCTTGAGACTTGCCGACACCGACGCAAGCATGTAGCCCTCGGGCCTCGTCAGTCCCTTCTCGACCTCAAGCCAATCGATCAAGCCCCGAAGCGCCATCCTCGCCGCCTCTCTTGGGTCAGCATGAATACCCAGCGCCGCATAGGTCCCCTGATCCTCTTCGGCCTCGCCTACCCTCGGCCCCGTCACATAGTGCGGACTGCTCATGACCCAGCCCTTTGGTCGGTCCGCCTTCTTCTCGACAGTCAGCCGCAACCGTGCCTTCATGGGCGTCTCGATCGCCGTGCCACATACTTCGCCGTCCCCCTGCGCCGCATGTCCGTCGCCGCAACTGAACAGAGCCCCGGCCACCTGGATGGGCATGTACAGCGTGGTTCCGATGCCGAGATATCTTGTATCCATGTTCCCCCCTGACGCTGCATACGGTGGAATTGTGCTAAACTCGCCGGGCTCGGCAGGGGCGATGCCTATTACGCCAAGGAATGGCCGTACCGGGACGGAGATGCCCGGCTTGAAGACGGCGCGGCGCAGACCGCTCGCGGTGGTCAAAAGTGCGGATTCTGACAGATCCCAGATCTTGACATGTTGCTCGGGGAACTCATCAGCGAGCAGGCCGAAGCCTGAGAGTATGGCAGACCAGCCGTAGTCGGCGGGAGTCAGATCCAGGATATCGATCTTGAGCACATCGCCGGGTTCTGCGCCGTCCACGTATACCGGTCCGAAGGCCGGGTCGGCGAGAGTGAAGTCGAAAGTGGATAACGCAGTAGCCTCGTTATCGGGTCGTATCTGATTATTGCCGCCACACTTGAGGTCGAAAGAGATCTCGGTGCCGGAAGGGACCGTCATGACTGGGGGGATATCTCTGGACCATTTTAAGTGTGCCTGGTCTGATCTGACGTGGAATGAATGCGCCATTGCTCAATATTCAAGTGGCCTAGATTCACTGTTTATACAGCAAGATGATTTGTACACTGACCGCTATGTGACGTTGCTCAAAGGTCTTGATGCTATCTATCTATCTATCTGGAGCGGGGATGACCTCCATATATCTTTGGTATCAATTATCCCCCGCATTAGGCTCTGGTGAGGATTCCTTATCTCCCGCATCTGTGCGATGGGAAAGAGAGGACGTTGATTTGGAATCCTCTTGGAATCATCGGCAATATCCCAGGCCATCTTATTACAGTCCTGAAATAAGTGTCATACCTATCTTTGGAATTGAAAATGATCGCACCGTAAAGATGACCGTTCCGGGCCCCAAAGACGTCCGCGGACGCCGGTTATCAGAGCCATCGCCGTGTTTTTCGGCGGGCTAAAGTTTTAGATACAGCGCCGTAGCATGTGGAAAGCCGGAGGCTGAACTCTTTAGGGTGCTTGAGCAGCAACGTGATGGGTTGTGAGTGCTCCATTTGCTGTAGGACATCCGCTAGAAAAGTTCTCCGCCCACACCGATAGGCTTCCGCATGCAAGGTACAATCTGCAATCCCGAAAACTTGATATTGAGAGATTCATGTTATCAGCCCAACAACCTCGGATGAACAGAGCACATGATCCAAAACTTTTATAGATAATCGGTCAAGCTTACTCTAGTGCTCGATATCACTTCTGAGAAGGGTGAGAGCAACACTTATCAGAGAGAGCAAATCACGTTCTTCTCTGAGACTGACCTGAACGTCTTGTCAGCAGGCATCAAACTTCAGACTGCCAAGATGGCATTCACGATGCATTCGCATTCGGGGCAGTTTTGCCCCGGCCACGCAAAAGACCAACTGGAGGAAGTTATTCAGCATGCCATCAGCATAGGCTACAAGACAATTGGACTGACAGAACACATGCCCCGAACCGACCTGGCAGATTTATATCCAGAGGAAGTAGGCCACTTAAGACTTATTACTAAATATCTACACTTGACAAAGCACACAAGGCTAACGCACGACCCAGCTCGACGACCCGGAAGCCTCACTAGCTGTCCTCCCACAGAGGCACGAGGCGTACCTCATCGAGGCCCAGCGTCTGCAGGCCAAGTACGCCTCGCAGATCCACATCCTGATCGGCTTCGAGGGCGAGTTCATCCGGCCCTCGTACGCGGCGCTGGTGCAGTCGCTCGCCGCGCACCCGGCCGTCGACTACTTCATGGGCTCGCTGCACCACACGCGCGGCGTGCCCATCGACTTTGACCGCGCCACCTACCTCCAGGCGCAGGAGAAGGCCGGCGGCACCGAGGCGCTGCTCTACGGCGCCTACTACGACGAGCAGCTCGCCATGCTGCAGGCCCTGCGGCCCCGCGTCGTCGGCCACTTTGACCTCATCCGCCTGCTGAGCGCCGAGCCCGGCCGCGACCTGAGGGCGTGGGAGCAGGGGGCCGAGGAGGAGGGCGGCGGCCGTGTCTGGGACAAGGTCGTCAGGAACCTGTGCTTCGTGGCGGGCTACGGCGGCTGGCTGGAGTGCAACAGCAGCGCGCTGCGCAAGGGCCTGGCGGAGCCGTATCCTGCGCGTCCGATCGCAGAAGAGTGGCTGAGGTTGGGCGGGAAGTTCACCTTCTCGGACGACAGCCACGGAATCGCGCAGGTGGCGACCAACTATCTACGCCAACTGGACTACCTTGAATCGCTGGGCGTAAAAGAGGTGTGGACTCTGGAGCGGACACCTCACCCCGGCACACAGAGCGAGACGAAGGCGGAATTAAAGGAGAAGAACATCACATTGGAAACATTTAGACAAAGCTTACGATTAAGGTGAGATCACTTGGGAGACATGCCATGCCTTCGAGAGCATGTTCATGTCGAGATTATTGATTCACAGAGGAACAAGTATAGATATATACCCAAACAAAAGAAGAAATATAGGCTAGCCCATATCAATTTTCTGACAGCTGACTTGAATAAATTCACGGTCATCCAATAATTGCACCTTGGATTCATTACGGCCCCAGATACTTGACTCTGAAGCATAGAGTCAGGCAGATGCTTTGTTGGGATGCTCCCTTTTTACATTGTTAAAGGTACTGACTGGGCAGAGGCAAAACACAATTTCTAAATCGATGGATTGTTCCTACAGGTAGAAGCCGTGCCATTAAAACGAGAATATATAGAGTAGCTCTATGAGCCCGAGATAGGTAGATAGGTAGAGAGCCTCCGTCCAAGACCTGCTCTGCGCTAGATTCCAGTGCGCGCGGAAGAGCAAGAGAGAATGCCAGCTCCTTCAATCTTTTCGCTAAGCAATGTTCTTTTGTTGGCTCTGTTCCCTCAAAATATAAAATTATCCCAAATGTCCTTATGATCATCAACGTTCGTAGCATCGTTCCGGATTGAAAATATTTCCTCCTTTTTGAGTTTGCCTCCTTCTGTTGCGTCCTGCTCTAAGAAGCGATTGACGGTTATGCCTTGTAGAAAGGCGAGATTTCATCCATGATGACGAGTGATGTTACTCCAGTGCTATGCCGATAAGAAAATGCCCAAGGCCGAGTAAGTGTCGCTGATTGCCGGTTCCACTTGGTGATACCGCGCATGAAAACCGTAAATATCCCAAGAATCCAATACCTCAAAACCACAGTAGCCTCCTTCCAGGTGGAGATTTTAATCAAAACACCACCATCCTTGCCTTCGTTAGTGTCCTTTGTCATTCTCAAAACTATCTTTCCGCCTTCTCCTTGGGTGTTCTAAATCTCCCACGTGTGACCCGAAATACTTCAGCAAGTACATGACTACTAACCATGACTCTAGAGTTAAGATCATGCCCAACAGCTCATTTATGTGCCAATAATCAGACACGGCTTTTGCCTACTGGCCAACAATTCCAGGTAAGAAATGCTGCCCCCTACTTGGGTCTTCAGCGCAAGCTTGTGCCTTGTTGATCAGCCGCTGGATATGTCGTGTGGCACAATGATCCTCTGGGCGAGCCGGATCATTTAGCTGCCGGTCCTCGGGGTCGGCCCATCGACCTGGTGGACTTGTACACCAGCTTCGGAAGCTCTGGCTGTTCCATGTCATCGATGCCTTCATCGACTTCCAGTTCATTGCTGACTTCTTTTGCCGTGGGACTACCCATCTCCCTTCTCATCGATTGCGGACGGAAGCTGCGAGTCTTGGGTGGTTCCTCGAGAGCCTTGGCGGCTTCCGGATCGCTTTGCACGCGCTTCATTTCCTTGTCTGCGAGATCCTTGGTTTCCGATAGCCGTCTCTTAATATTTTCAACCTCTTCGCCGCAGTCGCCATCTCGGAGAAATTGGTGAGCAGCATGCTCGCACATGGACTGCACGTACTCGAGACCTTTGTCTAGCTCATCATAGACATCGGGCGGCTGGTCAACCATGCCACCAGCACCGTAGCCATGTCGACCACCATATGAAGCCATGCCTGCACGAGTGAACATCGGGCGGCCAGCAGCATAGAGTCCAGCCGTAGATCTCGACACATTTCGCATCTGCCGCGTGCTTACATACTGAAGCGCGGGTAGTTCTTCAGATTCACCATCTTTCTTGCCAGCCTCCAGAGGACCGTCAGGCTTCAATGCAGCAGCGATAACAGTTGAGCCGTTGGCCTCCTCTTCCTCCTCCTCATCATCCGGCATTTCCAGCTCGGCCATGCGCTTGATCTGTGCGACCTTGGCAGCCATCTTAGCTTTACGCATCATGTTTCGCGAAGCCGAGACGAATTTGACAAGCTCCTCAAAGAAGATTTGCACGTAGCTATCATAGTATACAATGATCATAGTCCGCGAGCGGTACTTGGGCATAGCGCCCTCGGCCGAGATCATGGATTCAGTCTTATGTTTCCGGACAACAGCACGTGCCCTTGACTGTGCGAGGGCAGCTACTTGATGAGCCTGCCGCTGCAATGCCGATGGTGTTTGTGACGCATCGGTCGGACTTGCGGGAAGTCCATCGTGAGCAGTACCATTCTCTGGTGGCTGCAGCAGCAGAGCCGGTGTTGAGGCAGACTCTGGTGGTGGTGAAGTGGGATGTGCCGCGGGCTCATCCTTGGGTTTGAGTGACTCTGTAGAGCCTTTATTCCGAAGAGATTTGACGGACCGGGCTGAGCTGTTCGGGTGAGGTTCGGCACACCGAGCCAATTCCACCTGGCGTTGTTCGATCTGTCCGTTGAGGTCGTCCAATCGTTTCACCCAGTCCGGGCAATTACCGATGAGGTTTCTAAGGGCATCCATAGCGAGTTCTTCTTCGTCTCCGCCGGGGGATGCAACTCTGGGTGACCGTCGAGCGGCCGTCTTGAAGGAAATTGTGACGGGTTCACGGTCGTTAGGCGAGGATCGACCTAACGAGCCGTGCAGATGAGGTGTAGATGAGTGTCGTCAAGCAGAATCCCGATGCTGGATAGCAAGGCGGGGATCACGTCGGACCAAGGGGGACGAGGAGCGTGTGGATTGGATGGATGGTGTTTCGAGGCGGATAATTAGACACGACCAAACATGGTAGACGTATCTTTGCCGCAGGATCAATTGCTAGAAGCCGATAATGGCGACGACTATCAATCGCCGCAGACGCCGTCAATCGAGAACGCAGCCGGGAGGCTCTTCAGCGTCCGTCGGATAGCCAGATGGATTGTCGTGAGATGTCGTGTGTGTTGAGGAAGAACGCAGTAGTTGGTGGAGGAAGAGAAGAGAGCCGTGAAGTAGGTCGGTAGGTACGTGAGAGAAGAGAACAGGGCACAGAAGTACGACGGCACGGTACGCAAGGAAGGGTACGGACCGTACAACAGGACTGGCAGGGATCAGGAAGCAGCGTCGGAACAGCAATGGTGCGTAAATGGGCAATAAGGGTAGACGACAAGCCCCCCCGGCCGCTGTTGCGTGGGATGCGAGGGCGTAGGTAGGTGGACTACAGGGTGGTGATTGTCACGGGTGGGTAACAGGCGAGGTGGGCGAGTACAAAGTCCCTAGCGAAAGTGAAGAGGGAGAACAAGAGGTAGAGAGGAGGGATAGAGAGGGTGAGGAGCTGCCCGTCACTTTGGGTTAGGTTGAATCAATTTGGGTTGGTGGTTGCGTTGAGTCGAGGAGGAGCAGCAGCGTGAAATGTCGAGAGCGAGTAAGTGCGCGAATAGAGTTGAGGAGACTGAGAGGTAGAGTAGACAGACAGACAGACAGGCGACGGGGAGAACGGGGAAAGTGGGCTAACGTTAGGCTGGGGCCGGACAGTAGTCAGTCGCTCTTTCTCGTTCAATCAGCGAGGAATAATAAGGCAGGCAAGAGCAGGGGTCCCGGGCCAGACGGTGGTTTCGTGGTTTGATCGGCGAGCTAAGTTAAGGTAGTCCCCGTACCGCTTCTAATGAAAGTGCGCACAAAGTACCTCGTGTGCCGTACCTACCTACCTGTCCCTCTCTGCCTTTTGCTCTTATGTCGCTTACTTCCTTGCCAATGCTGCTGCTGCATTGCATCGCACCGCACCGCACCGTACCGTAACAAGGTAGTAGCAGCCACAGGACAGCACACTTACCCAAAATGTCTATTCTTCACGAGCGAGTGCCGCCGTTTCCTTCCTTTCCTCCGTTTCTTGCTCGTTTTCCTCTCTTGCCGTTTCCCCTTGATGCATACTGGCTGGTCCCTTGGCCATCCCTGGAATTGTACCTGGCCTGCTTGCTTTCATTTTACGCTACCTCCATCTCTCTGGCAGACTGCCAAACTATGTCATGTCATGCAGTGCCCATGTGCACCCTCACCTCGCTCCATTGTTTAGTGTGCTCAGAGTAGAGTAGATAGGTCAAGATTTAAATAAATAGCGATGCCGATAGCGAGATGGAGATCGTAGAGGCTAGGGGAGCACTAACAGCGTGCAGTGCGTAACCTGACGACAAAAAGCAATCCAGGCCTTGGCAAAGGGACGAAAAGAGAGGGGGTTATTATGGATCATATGGCGCCTGTCAGATCGGCAACGAGGAAACGGCAGCGCCGAGCAAAAACAGCGTAGCGGCAGGAGTAGCGTAGCACCTAGGCACAGCCCAGCTAATGAGCGACGGGCAGCTAATGTGGGTGTGCGGAGAGACGAGGAGGGAAAGATACTTCGCATGCTGCTGGAATCGCCATGCTGAAATGAAGTACCTCTCATTTGAAGAGCCTTATTATATAATATTATAAGTTTATAACCTGTGTGACCCTCTTTGTGCTTTTGCTCGGCTGTGAATAGTCCATTGATTCACTATGAGATGGAGGTGGAGAGAAGGAAGGCCTAGATCAGGATTGCCAACGCATCGCATGGCATCGCATTACCTCCTCGCCTTGCAAAGCACCTACAGAGTAGAACACGAGGACAAGCAGATGCACATCTTCTCCTCGATTGAGGTAAAGCGCATGCCAGGCCTCTAACGTGAATGGAGAGCCTGGGGAAACCAAGACTTGGCTCTAGAATATCCACAGGCCATGGTCAGTTATTGTAGGCAAATTATTGTAGGCAAAGTTTTGTTTGGTGCATATTTCGCCCTCGTGTCTGTTCGCTCCACATAGCCACTCAAGCATTTGACTTAGCTGCAATGGGCTACAGAGAGTGAAGATAGGGCATGCAAGAGGAGCAGGGACTGTGCCATTACAGTTGTCTTAACCTGCAGTAAAGCTGTCTCTCAGTCAGGTGTACCGGAACAAACCTCGATGACCGTCTCCAACAACGTCATCATTACGGTGCATCACAAGTCGGGTCTTGTCGGGCAAGTTACCTACTTTGAGAGAAGCATCCTGTGCCAGAAGAAGCTTTAACAGAGCTGATATAGGTGCTCAAAACTGGTCAGAGACCCCAATTAGGGTAACTGTCAGTAAGTGAATGTGGGCGGCTGTTCCAGCTCAACCAGTCACTTCATCGCTTTCACAATGCTGATGGAAATAGCCAATCGCTATCACATGGAAACCGTGCCTTGAGATTCAATTCGCTCGCCAACTCAGCTCAGAGAACACCACTTCACGGGGACACGAAATAGAACAAAACAGCCGTCGGACTACAGGCGGGCAAAACAGGCTGCGAGTGTGAGGTGTGTTGAATGTCAGCGTCGCGACGACAGGGGTCGAGTTCGTGTGGCCCTCTGTCCAGCCCTGTCCTGTGCTGCCCTGTTCTACCCTGTGCAGTTCTGTCTGCCGTCGTCTCCCCTCTTTTCCCGACCGTCCATTTGTCGGCTGCATCCATCCGACTAACACATACGCGCCAGAGCGTACCGTGCATTTACTTTTTGTCCTTTTCAATGCGTGAAGTGTCTCGAAAAGAGGTGCACATATGCCCGCGACTTCTCACAAAAGGTGGAAGTCGAAAGTGCCAAGCAAGGCCAGAGTACCATGCCCCCTCTTCTCTTGCCAACCAACGTCCGTAAGCTTTGCAGGGACACGGGGAGCAGTTTCTGTGCCGCTCACCAGCAAGGACCCAGTGACCTATAGCAACTTGGCAAGGAGCGAGGGATGCGTAAGGTTCACTTCACTTCGCTACGTTACTGTGTGGTAAGGCATAGCACGAAAGATAGCGTCGGTCCAGTCTCTCATCAGATCTCTAATTTCTGCCCGTCTGCTGAGTGAGAATGAGCAGGAGAATGCGTATATGGCATGGAGGACAAATGCCTACCATAGTAATAGTGCCCGACCCCTTAGCTCCAACCCCTAGCCCACGGAGCTGCATGGTACTTTGGCTATTTGAGATGAGATCTAGCAGGGCGAAACTGGAGGTGTGTGAGTTGTATGGTAGCAGATTGGGCTACTCCCTACTTCGACATCGTCACCTTTATGCCGAACAGGAGCTGCGCATGGGGGCTAGAGAGGAGGGATCTTCGCGAGTTGATACGTGGACATGCTGTAGTCATCAATCTGCTCTTCGCCTCGTGACCCCGACTCGCACAGCAAAGCAAGGAACACACAGGCGATCCTCAGACCGCAGCGCAATGTACCGTCACCTCCTCTTACCTGCAGGCCAGTAGGACGAAACGCTTTTGCGGTTTGTCTGCGGGAGAAAGAGGGTGGTCATGCCCTCCTGCACGCACGATGCCTGGCCAGCTCAGGAGAGAGAGACGAGACATACATCGAAGACATGCATCGAAGCACATCTGCCTGTCTCACATCAACCCAAATCGTGCGAGAAGTCAGAGCCGGGGGCAGAAACGGTCAACCACCACATATTTACTGACTAGGTGGTCTATGCAAGTAAGCTAAGTCAGAAATTAGGTGACAGACGGCCCCTAGGACCGTCCCGCTCCTTGTCCCGCAAAAAGCCATCAGTTCAAATTGATTGCAGCTGACTTCATTAACACCTGAGGTAATGCAAGTCGCCGAACATAACTGAAACAAGTTTCATTCTCAGAAACGGTGAAAACGTTGAGATCTTAGAATTGCATTGATTATGGCTCCTCCTGTATTGCGATTTGTTTTCCCTCTCTTGACAACTCTGCAACCTTGACCCGTCGCCAAGGTCACCTTACCAGCTGGGCAGGGAGCAGCGCGGGCACTGTCGGTAACACACCCCAGCAGCAATGCGGAGTTGGGCGAGGAGAATCCTCCCAGACACTTCATTGGGCACAGTCGGCTCTCCCACGGAACTCCTTGCGGGCGTTATAGCCGTTAAGACAAGGCCAAAGTCAGCAATGCAGCACGCTCCATCGGCAATGTAACCACAGGAAGGCAAACGTCTCAAGCATTGCGACTCTTTCGAGAAGGATGACTTGAGGTGAAACGAGATGAAGAGCAACCCAAGAACAAAACACTGCCTGGCCTGGGAAAGAATCGGAATGCAATGCGTCTCTCACCGTTGGTGACCATTGCGAGCGTGCATCTCCGAAATACGCGGGTTGTAAAGTATGCTGCTCTGACTAACAGGGGCAAACCCTTCAGAGTGGGGGATTATTTGTCTCAACTAGCAGATCTCCGAAGCTGATCTTAACACTTGCACTCTCTACGACCCCGGATTCGAATGAATTGCACAATCGCTAACGGAGGGTATGTCCTACGGGCGTATCTCACCTCCTATCTCTTGTGTGTGTGTGTGTGTGTGAGTGGGGAGACCAGCCAACCTGTTCCAGGTTGCATTGCTTCGAAATGGCCTTCGAGTCTTCTAGAATCAATGCGAAAGTAGCACCCCTTGCTTGCGATCTCAGACCTTTTTGATGGGGCAGCGAGGGCAGCTTTCAACGTCTCGAGAATGCTTGCCAGGACCGACCCAGTTCAACGACTTTCATGCCAACACACGGATGATCAGCATCGTGACATGCCGTCTTCGTCGAACTCGGCAGATGTGAGAGTGAGTATCTCGAGCGGTCAAGCAGCCAGCATCTGGCGGCAACGGGCCTCGGAGGATTCCCGTGGGAACAGACGTCCTGCGGTGATCTCGAACATGATTTGTTTTCGAGGCGCTGTCACTTGCGGCGCAGACTACAAGGTCTTGAGACCCTCTGATCAATGCTCTGAAATTGAGTTTTATTTGACGCAAGGTTCTGGATCCTCAACATTCCGTAACCTATCCTCGTGACTATTAGGAGGATGCTTTTCAAATTGCTGCAGGAGCGAATTCAGAACGGGGCACAGGTTGAGAAGCACTGGGTGACCACTACGCATCCACTTACAGGATAGTAATCGGGATTTCCATTTGCTCACCGTTTGAATGTCTTGAACCAACAGCATCGACGATCCACGAACCAGGCACATGAAATATAGCCTCAGCACAAGATGACGCCTCTCGCGATATCGATCCGAGCACCTGCATTGCCCGGCGGTTTCACGACCAGTGAGAGAGGGCAGATCCCCGATCTCATCGGTCACGTCCTGCCGCTGAAGGGCCGTTTCCCTACCCTTCTGCTCGGAGGATATGCGGACGACGTGCATGCCGGAGGAAGCCACAGCCGCGCCTAGTGACGCTAGAAATCATGTTGAGAACACCCATTCTCTCTACATACAGTAGTAGTCAAGCCTCCACCCCACGACCAAGGCGCCTCCTGACCTGATCGAAGAACGTTTCGGCTAGCCTCCGATGCGTGTTGGTGATGAGATGATGCAGGCTGCGTCCGCCTCCTTTTGAAAAGAGACAAAGTTTACGAGAATAGTGGAGTTGTCTTGCATGCAGTGTGGCATTTGTACTGGACCATTAATTACGAATAAACTGTCAAGCAGAGAAAATGCGGAGCTGCTTCGCAAACCGTTGTGATATCGTTGAGGCATCTAGTGTCAGTAGATCTCATTCTCTACTGCATAGCTGAGCAAGGACGGCCCTTGTAGCAGGCCGTGACCGCCTCGAACGCACAACTGTCAGAAAAATGTCTAAAATTGGCTCCGCCTGCTGCTGCATCAGGTGACGACCAGGCCAAGCAGATGCGATGGGGGGACGAGTCGGTAGACAAGCAGCGCGCATGAAAGCAGCAGGGACAGGCGCTGCGGAGTGAGTTGGCGATCTTGACACATCGCGAAGCGCCAGGGCTTCAGGTGCTTGATTGAACAAGCCAAAGCGCATCTATCCTGAGGAATCAGAGTCTAACGCCGGCGGGTGGACAGCGTCTGCCAAGGGTTGTAGGGACTTTTTTCCCGACTCCCATCCCCCCAAGTACCGATATACCGAAACCCACAGAGCTAGAGTTCCGAGAACCTCTCTTGGCTATTGTTTCAAAGACAGACGATATTGATGGCGCTGCTTGCCGACAACAGTAGATCCAGTGCCGAAATAGGACAAATGATCCAGCGCAATCGCCCCGTTTCTCATGGTGCAACGGTGAACGGTCAGAGGGTTAATATGCAATAGCTATATAGGTCTACGACTCTGGGGCACACCGATTGCTGTTTTCAGCTACGACGGGTTGCATTTTGGCTGCCGATTTAATATCCGTGAGGCGCAATCTCCCGGCTAGGCGAAGTCTAAAAGGCTGGTTCCCTTCCGTTGTGCGCAATTTTAGCTTCATGACGACCCTTCCCGCGTGCCTCTTGAGGAGACGTGGCTGCTCGGCAATCCGTAGACGAGACATGTGAGCCGGGAACAGCAAGCCTTCAGTGAGGACGTTGGGCTGCAGTGTACTTTATATCCAGGCACACCGGCCCTTTGATGAGACGGGAAGATGCGAGCATGGAGCAACATCACGATCAAGTCTTTAGCTGGCAACTCAATTGCCTCGAATCCCTAAACAGGTGTCCCTAACGCCTTAGTGAGCTATGGCGGCCTTCGCCCGGGTAGTGACAATATGTCTATAACCCCTATGGCGCTCGAACCGCCTGTAGCGCAACAACCGTTCAATAACACAACAACACTAAAGTAGTGGTCGATGGAATATCAAGTGAATAGAGTTTTGTCTGTTGACAAAGTCGAAACTTTGAGCTAACTACACCGTTCCCTGCGTTGAGCCGGCGGAGATGCGAGACAACTAGCTATCTATCTATGCAAGGTGAACACAACAGTGTGGCTGGCCATCAGGCACCTTTGCTTCAATCTGCTCGGGACAGACAGCCGATGATGCTTTGGTCTCAGCATTCTGCATAGACGACGCTGCCTAGGTTAGCTCTTTGCTGATCAGAGGAGTAGAGAAGCCGTCCACTGTGGCAGCATGCATGCGAGTCGGAGTTCGCTGTACTATGTATGTACGGTATTGGATCTCGCTTTCGCAAGTTGCACTCTCTGTTCCTCCCCCTCTGGCTGATACGGCAACGAAACGGTCTGCAGCTTTTAGTTTAGTGTACGCAGGACGCTGGCCGGTTGAGGCCGGTGGCTGGAGGCTACCTCCTCGCGGACCCCGGCTGTGTGTGGTCAGGGAAGACAGGCTTTACACGTGGGAGTGGATGAGGAGGATGGGAAGAGAAAGAGGGGCCGCCCGCCAATACGCCAACTGCCTGAAAGAGGCGCGACGGCCGCCCGCCGGCTCTCGTGCTTGCAACGAAGAGCCCTGCTTCTCGCGATGGGCTAAACGCTTCTGACTTGCAGTGGTCGAACTCTCTTCAACTGCCGCTAATCAAACCTGAGCTGGAAGGCAGGCAGACGCCTCTCCTCAGCTGTTACATTGCATGCACTCTGCTCTCTGCATCCTATCAACTCTCGAACAGCACGAACCCCCCTCTCTTGACTCTATCGTCATAATTCTCGTTCATGATGCTTACACACGGACTCACAGAGTAACCTGACAGAACGAGGGCGAGGGGGGCCGGACGACCGTCGGCGTCTCATGGGGGTGAGGTGATCGATCGCCGCTGGAGATCTTCTTTTCTCGCACCGCCTGCGCACAATGCAAAATGCATGCAACGCCGCCCGCGCTGGCGATGCTCAAAGGGGGAGAGAGGAGTGGGCTTGCGGTGGAGTCCCCTTCGCTCAACTGATTCCTGAAGCCTCTTGTCGAGATTCTGGCTGGCTCTCTTCCAACATTTCCCACCAACCAGCCCGCCCAATCACCACCCGCGGCTCGCCTGGGACCCTGACAAGACGCAATCATTCATGCAGAATGGGCCGGGGCCTGTAGGCCAACGGGGAAGACACTTCCTAGATCCGGGTGGAGCCGCCTAACCGTCTCTGCTGTCGCAGATTTGTCTAGACAGGACTGGCGCCGGCGGTGTAAAGAGGTTAGGTGAGGTAGAGTGCAGAAAGTGCCAATTTCCACAATTCCTCTTCACTTTTTCTCCAGCCCCTCTGACCTCTGACAACTCTTGACAGGACCGACGTGAATGGCTCAGACAGGCTTGCCATGTGCCCCAACTCTTGCACCTAACGTTTTCAGTCAAACTGCCCGTTAGTCTACCTAGCCCACGCTGTGATCCACTGTTTGTCTCTTTGCTCCAGCGCCTATTCTTGTTGATCTCAAGCCCTCCAGCAGGTCCCCCATGATTGCCTAGTTGTGCGAGTGGGAATCGTTCGGAGGGATTTTTCGCTTCGGTGCAGTTCAATTTGCGTTTCTGGTCTTGTGCCCTCGGTCCTGAGCCAATTGCAGTGCCGCCCCTTTCCGAGCCCACGCCCCTGTGCTCCAGACAAAATGTGTGCTGTGTGCTGTGTGATCTGAAAGAGGAGGCGCTGGAGCTAATTCGGGAACTGCTGTTGGTGACGAAACTTTCGTGTGCGAAATTGATAGACCCTGCGTAATCAAAAGAGCCTCCACCTTCCGGAAACCTGTCCTGGAAAGCTGATAGGCCATCGCCTTGGTCGGCCGAGACATTGCGAAAAAATGACAGCAATGCACAACTCGTCAAGTGACGGTGTGTCATGTTCTAATGGGTAAGTAACACTGGCATGTCACATACCTCAGGTAGTCAACGCTGTAATAAACCGGGAGAAGCGTGCATGACAGGGTTGCCCAAACTTGGCCTCTACCCAGAGTATAATTCAATAGGGGTCTTACGTACATACATACATGCAACGGCACTTTACGCAGTAGCAGATGGAGGCGTGAGCTCCTCAACAAGCGCTTTGATGGGCCCCTTTTCAGCTTTACCCCAGTCCACGCCTTTCAGCCGCTCTGCCGCGTCGCCATCCTCGGCAGACACGAGTCCCCAGAGCTCATCTATCACAAGACTTCTCACCCGAGGCCAGGGGTGCATCATCAGAGCACCGAGCCTCTTTCGTGCCTCCGTGATCCCTTGCGCTCTCCGCTCCTCGAGTGTGGCCGTTCTCAATGGGGTTCGGTCCGAGTGAATGGCAATGCCGGTGATTCCGCCGTAGACCTTGATGCACGCCTCGAGCTTCCGGACGTTTCCGGTCTTGTAGCCAGATTTCTGAACCAATAGACACAGGTTCTTGTAGTCAATCTCGGTGCAACGCCGGAAGGCGCCAACGTAGAACATGAAAGCAATGATCTCCAACGTCGGCACAACTACGCGGTCTTGCCCTTGCCGGTTGTTGAGGTTGCGTACGAGGGCCGCACAGACGCGGTCGAGGTTCTCCTGGGACTTTTCGCAATACTCGCTGAGTGCTGCCCGGCTTGCTATCACCAAATCCTCGTTTCCGGTGTCGGCGGATGTGACAAATCCTGCCATGAGCTCGTCCATCCAGCCCTCGGGATCGGACTTGGCTGCTGATGAAATATTGGGATGGAGCCAATCTTTAGTTAGAAGGCTGAGCAAGAAGTGAAAATAACCTCTCGATGAAAACGTAGATTGTAGAAATTTCTCTGAGTAGCTATATTTGCGGTCAGCTTTCGTTTATCTCAGGAGAGTCAAGTGTTTCCTATTACGGAGAGACTCACCTTGTCTGCAACGTTAAGGCAAGCGTTGCTTGAGCCTCAATTCTTACTCGATCGAGCTTTTCTGCAGCCAAACGTAATACTCTATGAAGCAGACCTGAGACGAGCTTCGTGTGAGGTTCAGTATTGCCTTCAAACGCGCCCTGTCCGAGAGAATTCCACAAGCGCTTCGTCGCCTTGAGGGCCTGCGATCGAACGTGCGACCCGACATCGCCTCTTGCATTAATAGTGTAGTCGTCTAGACCCTCAGTAATCACATCTAGGAAGTTGTCCGTATTATATCGAAGGATATCACCCTGTGTCAACCCTTGGAGTATCGCCACTCTCGTCTCGATAGTGTTATCATGAGCCCATCGCTCCTGAATTGAACTACATATGAGTTCGTTGCCAGTCCGAGCCCAACGACCGGACGAAGCGACAACAGGATAAGCCATTGTCAAGGCAAAGAAGTAGCCACTGCCAGTACCGACCCGAGATGTTGGACGGTATTGAACTATCGCGGCCCACTGTTCAACAATCTTTTGACGATTCTCAATATCTGCGAATAACAGCAGAATTACCGCCGCTTTTGAGGCAGCATCTGTCGACTCCGGCTCAGGGCGGTTTAGCCATCCATCTAAATTATCTTTCAAGAGTTGTATTGTTGTCTCCAGGCCTTCCGGTCTGGTCTCAACGTCGTCCAGGCTGGAGACAATACTATGGAAACTCCATAGGTTCGTATCCTCAATCAAAGTCGACCCAGATAACAGTCGACCATGGAAGTGGTCAGATTCTTCAGCATCAACACACTGAAGAGCCGCCTGAAGTGCTGGGAAAGACGAGACAACAAGACGGCTCGCGGCTTCTGTTATCAGTTCAGGTCGGCGGAAGGTAGCCTCTTTGCAAACTCGCAAGTTGTCGTTTAGACCATCGATAATGTGATTAGTCAACCCGACAACGGCTCTATTTTCCGGCATACTTGGGAAAAGCAAGTCAGGAAGATGATCAAGTACAGCGGCAAAGCTGAGCAATAAGCCGTGGCGCTCATCAACCTGTCGCACTTGAAGCTCCTTGATGTGTTCGAGGACCCTCCTCACGGAAGCCATCAGGACTTTCAGTGAATCTGAAGATTCCTGACGCGCCAATTCTGCGGTGACCGCACCGAAAGAAGCACCTGCAACTCTTCGAGCTGCAGCATCTGAATCACCAATGCCTCGCCATCCAAGTAATGCCTCAAGCATTGCCTCTCCGTACCGACTCGCTAGTTTCGTTGCATTGACGGCAACTTCAAGAATTGCCCTTGACCTCAGCGCGACAGCATGATAATCGACCGTCTGAACTACCCAGATTCCCTTCTCTACAGTATCAGGGTGCCTGCCAATGAGCTCCTGCAACGCCGCAGATGCACCGCGTCGAATGTTACCAGCAGGGTCTAAGGAGGCAGTCACGATGAGTTCTGTCGCCAGTATTTGAAGAACAGATGTCTGTGTATCGGACGACCCGGTGCTATGGACATTCTTCATCGATACGGCAAGCAGCTCTGTCGTGGAGTACCTTCGTGCGAGAGCCCAAATTCCAAAGCAAGCGGCATCGCGGACATTGGTTCCGATTGAGCCTCCAGAAGGACTCCTTCTCTCAAAAGAGAGACCAAGCAGCAGAGCACGGATGATGTCTCTCAAGTTGTCTACAGGAGGCGATCGCCTGTAGATTAGATGAGATAGAGTAAGTATCAGACCATGCCATTCGAGTGGATCAACTGAGGTGAGGTCTCTGGTTGGCAATGCCGATGGATTGGAGGGGTTCTTCACCCATAAGACATTGCGATTCAAGGAGTCCAGTACAGCTTCGACAACCTGAGCAGCCATTTCTGTGTCGAGCTTCAGGGTGATGACACTTAGAGCCTTACTTGCTGCGAAACGAACAGGTGTGTCATTGTCTGCCAAACTCTCCAGTAAATGACCAATAGTACCCTCTACCATCTCGGTACTGGTCATGTCTTGTTCCTCTTTGCGGAGGACCAGAACGACTATTGACCGCATTACCTTGATAGCCAACTTTCTTGCAAGAGCAGAAGAGGCAATTATATCAGACAAGGGCTGCTCCTCAGCGCCCATAACTTTCTGAACAGCGTAGAATATATCAGACAGATACTTGTCCATGTCTGACGTGTCGGAAGACGAGACTAGAATGCCAGAGAGGTATGAAAGTATCCCGATATAATGATATGGGGATTGAAGCACTTGGTCCTTCTGAGGCCGAAGTGAAAAGAGCGCCCACTGAATGAGAGCATGGAGAATACCTATTTCCTGCATATCCTTCCGCATGGAAATCCTGACCAAGAGAAACTTTGCAGCATCTCGCTCTTTTCCCGGCGAGGAGAGATATTTTATAGCCAGAGGCAAAACCCTGAATGCTATGCCAGGGACATTGGGCGGCCACCGGAAGCCGGGGACCGGTGAAGCTTCGACCTCGTCCAGGTCTCCCGAAGAGATAGTGGACAGATCAAACGGTGCAAGAAGCAGATGGGCGAGCCAGAGAAGCACCACATACCGCTCCTCCCATGTCCACTGGAGAGTTGTGGAAGTGTTGGATGATTCGGTCTTCTCTGGTACCTCCACCGCCGAAAGCAGCAGCTCAAGATACTTGGTCTCGACATTGAGAAAGCGAACAATGATCTTCTCGCCTCTGATTTTGCATAAAGTGTAGATAATCTTGCAAATGGCAGCAGGAAGAGGCATCAAAAGCTCTGACCGGTTTGATCGTGGCTTGGAGCGCCGCCTGGTCTGCAGGTACTCCAAAAATGTTTCTGCCAGCAATGGGGCCCATTTTGGCAGGTGAGGATCAAGAAGCTGGGGTAGCTCTTGGAAAGGCTCTAGAAGCTATGGGGTGATCAGCAGATTGTTATTCGTACGAGCTCACGGGGATTTGCCTGACATTGGATATCAACCTGGTTGTCTCTCGCGATCGAACGCGGGACCGGACACGAGAGCCCGTGCCATTGTCCGGCTTTCTCAGAAAAGGCTGCAGAGACCGATCAAAGTCCTCGATGAGGTCACTCGATACCTTCCGTAGCTTGATATCGAGATCGTCCTCCGGTGCATCCATGTCTTGCGTGATGTCGTCAACTGTCTTCAAGATTCTCTAGTGCGGCCCAAAATGGTGGCCCTGTGCGAAACCGCGATGACGGCCTTGCGCTCGTAATAGGCCGAAGCGCCACCGGTAGTTTCAAAGTGCTGCCTATCGGATCTCGGAAACCGCCATGCAGGCACCGACTTTCTGACAATGCGTGTGTTGGCGATGCCACGACGTGGAAGCAAGCAGCTGTTGTGGCCGAAGTTTAGTGGGCAGCGACAACGTGGGGTTTAGCAGCCAATCCCCGCGGTGGTGGGACAAAGATGGTCCCGCTGATGAGTGTGGCTTCGGGCTGCTGCAGATCGCTACAGTGATCTGCCGGCATTGGAGAGACATTTCAGCCTCTCAACAACATCACCTGGTTCCACGACAAAGTGATACTGAACACAACCTTTTTGTTTCTTTGCGCCGAAGCGTGGTTCTTCCTGTATTCCATTTTGCTAATGCCTTAGAGAAAGGGTATGTACTGTCTAGTGGTATCTCTAATAATAGTCTGGCTGTCCGACACCAGGTCCCCATTACCAAGCCCTGAATAATAAAGAATAAAATCGTCATGTCATGCGCATTGAGGCGAGGGGAATCTTGGCCAAGTAGCCGCTATCGCCTGTGGTGGTACCAAATCCTGAACACCAAGCAATCCCAGTCCATTCACCCATGATGGTTGCAAACGCCAAAAGACTCAAATGACTCCGGACAACTCCCACCTGACCCGACGGGGGCTGCATGTTCCTATGATGCAACCGCCACCGCGCCCACAAGGGCATCCATGGCCGAACTGTGTGTGCCAGCGTTGGGTCCGCCGCCTGCACTGGCTGGGCCTGTCCAGGTGATCCCCAGCTTGTTGTCGTTAGTGCGATCGCTGGCCCAGATCGAGTCAGCGTTCGCCAAGAGGAAGTTCTTGAAGGCGTCCTGCGGCGCGGCTTGATGCAGGTATCGAAGGTTGCGCATGAAGATGCCTTTGAACTGGGCTCCGTCCGCGCCGCAATTTGGCTCGCAGCCTTCGTAAAGGATGCCGTTCTTTGAGAGGCTGCTGATCGCAGCACCAGCGATATTCGATGCTACGGTGAGTAGGTCCTTGTCTGAGTTGGCCTTGCTCAACTCGACCAGACCGCCCAAGATGACGCCTTGGTTGTAAGTCCAGGTATTCGCGCCGTTGTTGGTGCAAGAGCCATCCGAGTTGATAGTGAGACCGTCATTGATGAGGTTCTGAGAGTTGATCATGCCACTGTGTTTGAACCAATTCCACTCGGCTATCGCTGCGTCCAAGTAATATTGCTTGTTTCCCGGTCGATTCGCAAGAGATGCTGCGACGGCGAGGTACAACTCATTGGCAATGGCGTTTTTGTACTTCTTGTCCTTGCTCCACCAGATGCCTCCTCCGCAGACACTGTCGACACCGGCCTTCATGTCCTCGAAGATGTGCTGGGCCATGTCTAGATAGCCAGGAACTCCAGTCACATCATATGAGCGGATCAGGGCTAGTGCCCACCACCCCTCGTCGTCGTAGAAGTTATTTATGAAACCGCCGAAGCCTCTAGCTTCTAGGTCGCTCACTGGAGTTTTGGTGTAGCTAGATTCCATCAATACCAGACCCAGTCCAGCCATCATAGTCTTAGAAGCTATCTGAACAGATTGCTGAGCCATCGTGAATGTATTCGAGATAATCCCACCGATATTTAGCTTATTCGCCTCATCGGCGTTCAGTGAAGCGAAATCCGCAAGGACTTGTAAACAATTGGCGCTATTCCACCATCCCGTGGTTGTCCACAGACCGTCTGCCGCATCGTACCAGGTCTGAAGTGCCTCCACAGCAAGGACAGCATTGGCAGTGTATGTGGCTTCACTTGCCCTCTCAACAGGGGCAGAAGACATGAGAAAGCTGGCTCGGGCAGCAAGTCCGCCGATGAATTTGGACGAGACCATATTGAAGATTAAGAATAGAGATTTGTGTAAGAAGCGAATCAGGAATAAGAGTCTCTGACTGAGGTCGAGGAGGTGGCAACTCCCACGCACCCGAGAAGGTAAGGAGAAAGGACAAAGGATATAAATACTGAGGCCAGTGAGGATGGAGAAGAGAAGGAGAAGCAAAACAGCATGGAGCACGACAGTGCCTCGCGGAGCAGCATTGGGACGAGAATTAAATATAATTGAATGCCGTGGGCGGTTGCTCCTGCTGTCGGTGCCAGCCTTGGCCTTGGCCCCGGTGGCCTGCGCCATGATGGATCCTCGCTGCTTGGGCATGGTGAATGAATGAATAGGAGCAGGGTCAGTGAACCCTAGCTCATCTCATGTTCCTATGTTCCTAACAACCCCGGTGCCAGCACGTTTGACAGCGCATCTCACATCACAAGGCAGGGCGAAGCTACGTGGATCCTGATAGTGACAAGGGGGTGACCAGGGCGGCCAGGATAGCAGCAGGAACGAGGATGAAGGACCCCGTGGCTGGTACGATCGATTGGTGATGAGCGTGCTTGTTGTTGCTCACCAGAGCCTGTGAGTGACAGCGCAGATTCATGCAAGCAGCTTAAGCTTATTAAGGAGCGCGCGTGGGTTGGACAGAAGTTGTGGCCGCTTCCATTGGTCCCATTGCTCCAAATGCTGCGTTTCATGTCTTAGATTGCTTGTCATGCCTGCTGGGGGGTTTCCCCTTGCCCCGCGCTGTTCTCGTTCAGACCAGGGAACTAAAGACAACGGACGAACCTCAACTGAGTAAATATGCAAGCCTGAACATCTATATGACTCCAAATTTGTCCCAATCAGTCCAACTAATAGATATCATGTCATGAAGTTTGTGCTCAGGTAATAACCGCGTTGACTACCCGACGCACTAGCATTGCTTAACGATGATACCAGTCTGGAGTGTGTGACAACTCAATGAGAGTATGCCGTATCTTCGCGATACTGTCCGCCACAATCCCTCACTCTAGTGGAAGGAATTCCATGAGGCTAGGTTTTACGAGTTGAGCCTTGTACAAACCTGTTCCTCGCTGCCTACGCATGGCTGCTTATCGTGTTCCCTCGACTGCGCCTCCTTTAAGTTCTCCCCTTCCACAATCCCATTACCCTGTAAGACTTCGGACGTTGCAAGGTTCTTTGTGAAGCCATGACCACGTTCCAGTACGGGAGTCGGGTGCAGCCCTGCTTAAGTCCCGGCAGCCGGATCTAGTGCATGAAGAGCTCATGGCGATCGTTGCCCGAATGCAGGCATCCGTGACAGGCCTTCATTGTTCTGGACCTACCGGCGATTTTCGCCCGTCTCCAAAATCTCCGAAGCATAAGGAACGAGCTTCCTTGGGCTCTGCGCCTTTCGTAGGTAAGAAAATCAGCGACGTGAAGGAGCAAAGAGTTGGACTATTCTTAGAGATCGCAAAGCCTCGCAATTGTCATTCAGCGATGCCGTCTATTGGAAGTCACTACCTATCTCCATCACTAACTTCATCCTGAACCGTCTGACTTACTTGGTCTCTTTAGCGGAGGACGCCGGCTTAAGTCATTTTTTTCTGGGATCGTAATCTGAGAAGCTCTCCTTGAAACAAAAGCGGCTCTACAGGTTCTAGTCGGCCTTATTTACGATGCTACGGAGAGCTAGGATTGTTTCACCCCCTTTCAGGCTGCCAATGTCTTGACTCTGCACCAATTCGGCCCTTAGCAATATCGCAGCCACTCATTCTAGATTACGCGTTATAATGCGACATCGATCATAAGGTGCGGGGAGCGGCAAGGAGGCGGCTGAGCTATTGCTCATGTGCCGTGTTGTGATCACCTTTGACACCTGCTAACTCGCAATTTTTCACGATCCAGGGCATTGTTTTCGATATTGTGAACTCTTGATTGCAACAGTGCAATTACGGTCCAAAAAGAACCAAGCTCGATATCGAAGCCGGCAAACGCTAGTTCGCCAATAGAGACAGTTATCAGATCACGTTGACTGCGATTTGTTTGTCGGTAAAGTTAGCCACTCATCCGCCGGCTCAATACAAAGCTGTCAATTTGAACCCGTTTGCGCCCACTAACGTCCATGGAGAGCGGCTCACGATTCAGCATACAGCTCATCTCACTGAGATGCACTTGATCTTCTGTGAGATGTGAAGATAGCCCTTCACAGGTTTTCAGATGCTATGGCCACCAACAGGAAAACTATGACTTGAAGATATTACTTCTCTTTAGTCTCCTAAGACAACCAGTCAAGGTGAAGTCCAGCCATTGCTTTTCAGGCAGAGATCTTGCACCAGTGTGCAACAGCGCAATGACGCAAGTGAGCCTTGCTCGCGCGCATCCAACTAACTCTGCTACCCTCCGAAAGGGCTTTCGGAGGGGCAAGCCGTTTCTATTCAATCGGCGGCTTGCGCAAGCGAGCCAAGAAGTGAAGTCATTCCCACTCTCCGCCAGCTCGCTGACACATCACCCGAGCCCCGAGATGCCTCATTTCTGCACAATGCACATCCCACCTGTTCCTTGAATCTACCCCAGCTTTCGGTGTGGCTAGCCCCAGCTTCTCCGCACTCAAAACGGCGGAGACTGCTAGTCAATTGCAATAGATACTCCGCACTGCTGTAGGCTAGAGTCTTGTCATAGGGTAGATCCATGATGGCGCACGGAGAAATAGGTCACTCACTTCGGGACCTGACCGAGAATGCGACGTGCATGTTGGAGATCATGTTTTGTCTGCAGTCTTTAAAAGCTCATGGAACTCAAAGATATACTTTGAGCGAGCTCTTCAGGTACTCCACGTCGCTTTGCCATACCGTTAGCTTAGGTGAGCTGCGATAGCTTCAAGAAGGCAAAATGGGGCTGCTCAAGTCATCAAAGGCTGTTGTAGCTATAGCTGCCGCCCACCTGTTAATTGGGGTTGACGCGCTTCTAAATGCTACGGAGACTTCATCTCTGTGTAAGTTAGCCTCTAATGTTCCCCGGACTCACGGCATGCTATACAGCTCCATTGTGAAGAAAGCTGCTCTCTTTACTGCATTGAGGATGTGAACATTAATTCGGATGCTCTTTAGTTATCCTTGCCAACGACCGTCTCTATACTGAGGTGGACAAGTCGCTCGGTGCCGTTGTAACGGTAAATTTGGACGGCCAAAATCTGTACGTCGACCTTCAAACTCTACATCAATAAATAGCATGTAGACTGACTTGTTACGTTGTAGGTTAGGTACTCGATCTGGCAGTACGGGCATTGGCCCATATCTAGACTGCTATTGTATACCCTCAGGCTTTTGGACGCCAGGAAGGACACAGCCAGCATACGAGCTATGGTCCGGGACAGATTCTACTGGAACACCATATGGAGGTGTCAAAATGTCTGATACCTATCCTGCTACCGGCCAGGTTCTCGAGCAGTATTGGTTCCTTCGCGAAGGCGAAACCGGTCTACATACCTTTAGTCGCATCGCATATTACAACGAGACCACTCCCTTCTTGCGCAATCTCCAGGAATTCAGGACCATGTTCCGGCCAAATTCGCCAATTTACACGCATCTGCTGACGAATGACAAACAATACGCTCCTCTACCCAGTGATGCAGCCGAGTCAAAGTGGATTGTCGTTCAAGATGCAACCTGGTATCTGGGCAACTCACCAGATGATGCGTATGTCCAGCAGGAAGCGGACTATTTCACGAAATATACCTTCCAGGATACTTGGAGAGACCATGACGCCCATGGCATGTTTGCAGATGGCAGCAATACCCCTGACAACTCAACATATGGTGCTTGGTTAGTTATGAACACCAAGGACACCTACTTCGGAGGTCCCTTACACAGCGACCTCATCGTTGATGGTATTGTTTATAACTACATTGTCTCGAACCACCATGGTGATCAGACTCCAAATATCACGAACGGCATGGATAGAACATTTGGGCCGCAGTACTTCCACTTCAACCACTTCCCAGCTGGTAGTGATATCCACACTCTCAAAGCCGATGCTGCGCAGTATGCTGACCCGACATGGAATGCCGACTTCTACGACTCCATCGCTCAATATGTGCCCAACTACGTACCCAGCTCTCAGAGAACGACCTGGAAGCTTCATGTAGATCTTCCTGAAGGTGCCAAGAACCCTATTGCCGTCCTTGCTCAGAATGGCATAGACTTTCAGGACAATGTCTTCGACACCAAGGCACTGCAGTACTGGGCCAACATCGCCGACGACGGCACAGCTGAGATCCCCATGGTGAAGGCCGACACCTACCGGCTCACCATCTATGCGGACGGTATCTTCGGGCAGTATATCAAGGATGACGTCGAGGTTATTGCTGGCGAGGTGCACACAACACATGCACGTTGGCGCGAGGAGACGGCAGGCACGGAAATCTTCCGCATCGGTACCCCTGACAAGAGCAGCGGCGAGTACAAGCACGGCTACGAACTCGACCCCACGCACCCGCTGCATCCAGAAGAATACCGTATCTACTGGGCCGTGTACGACTATCCGACCGACTTCCCAGAGGGCGTGCGATTCAAGGTCGGCGAGAGCAAGGAGAGCGAGGATCTGAACTACGTTCACTGGAGTGTTTTCGGCGGCTATGCTAATTATCTCCGCCCTGAGCCCTACTACGGCCATGGTGATGTCAACAACTGGACCATTGCCTTTGATCTCACAGACGACCAGATTCACCGGAAGAGGCTAGCTACCTTCACCGTGCAATTTGCGGGCGTGAAGACAGCCGCCGGCAACACCGACGTGTACAATGCCTCAGAACCTCATGCCAATCTGAAGTACACCGTGAATGTAAACGGCAAGGATCTGGAGCCCTGGGTTATTCCGTAAGTAGTTTCTTCTTCGACCTCCTCGACAGGGACTACCTTCGCTGATGTGATATCTCGCAGCTACTACCATTCCAGCTCATGCGCCGTTCGATCGGCCGTGATATGCTATCAGGTGGCGAACAAATTCACGTTTGACCCGGACCTGCTCAAAGAGGGCGAGAACGAGATCGTTCTGAGCCTGCCTTACAACGCCACCGACTACGAGAGCGCTGTCCTCCCCCAGTCAGTGTACGTACAGTACGATGCACTGCGCCTCGAGATCAAATAGTTTAGATAGATGTGAGGTCTTCCTTGCAAGTGAGCTGCTGAGTTCAAATGAAAAGAAATATCCCCTTATCCGATTTCGTGTTCGTGACTTGGGTGGTGTAGGTAGGGGGTTTCTTTCGCTATGCAATCGGAGGGAAGCAGACTTCCGGTTGTGTACACAAGTTCGCATCTTTAAAGAAATCTGCCGGCGCCCATTACGGAACAATGACCTTATGGTGGCGTGAAGATATTTGGGAAACTAGACCTCATCAAGTAAGGCAAAAGGATCATCATGTGGTGGCTTGAAGCCATGCCATGCAGATTTCTCCAATTCCCATGACATGGGCCATCGGATTTCCTAGGATATTGGGATCCCTATTTCCAGGCGTTCCCAGCCTGCAGCATAGTGCAAAAAGAAGCAAAATCACCTTGATAACTTCCCGAATCCTTGTCAAGGTCCAGGTCATGAACGTAGCCAACACCCGTTTACTACCACAGAACCTTGTTCCTAATGGTATACAGCGTTGACTACCATACAACCTCGTTACCAACAGTGTATAGCGTTTACTACCTTGAATGATTATCGTAGTCTAATGCTACTGTACAACCATTTCGTGTCCGTAGGCTTATATTTTGAAACAATCTGTGCAATGATTGTCATTCTTCACGAGTCAATACATTAGACAATAGGAAAATGGCTCATGTTTGAGTTGCAGGCCAGTTGTATGCTTACATTTGAACTTGTTGGTCTGGGAGTGCGCACAGTCACCAGTGGGCTGAGAAAAAGAAAAGAGCCCGAAACTCAAACTGCATCTGCTTCCTCAGCTTTGCGCCAGGTGAGGCAGGGAGAGCCTTGCGCGATTTGACATCCCCCACTCGAGTTCCTTACAGAGTACAGTTAATTGTAATGATCATGCCTCCCAATTTTGTTAGATGTTTGCTGGCAGAGAGCTATTTTCTTCTCTCCCTGTAGATAAAGGATTATCGTGGGCTTTAGTGTTGTTGGTCAACTCACTTCCCCAGACCAGTATCATGACACAGCTGGGTCAATGCTTCCGGGCCTGGAGAACGTTCATCATCACGAACGGCGGTCCGTTCAGCCCTCACGGATGTGCTCCGGCTGGAGCTACCCTCCGGAGCCGAGCTGCTAATGGGCTTGAGGGGATCTGCCACTAGGCTGCAAGCTAGACGGTAGTCTATCGATCCTGGCGCGGCAGTAACCACCGCCGCAGCGGATCTGCGATGCCCGCAGGGCTGGAAAGTGGCTGGCGGGCGTGCGTAGCGGCTCTGTGTCACCTTATTCCCCGGCTCTCAACATAGTATCCCGGCCAATTTCTCGAAGCTGATGTCTTGAACCTTGAGAGCCTCCACGTCCGAGCTATGATGGGCTGCCTCCTTAACGCCCCTTGCTGGCCAGCTTCCAATTGTGAAACTCGACGTATGAGAGTAGATCTGAAAATCCAACGGCTGGTGTTGTCATCAGACCAGGCGCTCACATTGCTCGTTTCTCGCGCCTCTGTCTCTCGTCGCTCTCTGAGATCTCGGGTGTCCCTCCGACTACGGAGCTGCTATCTGTCACAAGGCGTTCGATATCGAGATTCTGATGAACTACCGGTGTGTTTCCTCCGGGACAACGTGGTGACCCATGTCACGTCACAGTATCGGTCATGGAAACCAACTTGTAGTACACCGTGGCCCAAGGCCAACTCAGAGCAGTTGGAAATGACGAGGGCGATGGCTTGGCATTCATCTCATCCGAGGCCCGGCTCCGGCATCTGGGTAGCCGACGGGATGGCGTAGAGCCAGTCATACTACGCTTTCGGTAAGTGAGCGGCTATGAGTGGTCGAGCATGGCTGAAGGCGAGCAGAAGTTAGCTAGGTGTGTGGAATAGGCGCGGCACGTCGCACAACGGTGTTTTCGATTGTCTCGGTGGCATGTGGATGACGGATCTTCACGTAAGGAAAGGCGAGATCCCCCCGGGAGAATGACCGCTAGCTTATGTTGTACGACCACACACAGGCACGCCTTAGATGCCGAAGAAAGCATGCTGTCCAGATTGACAGAAATGTAGTACATGCCAGGCAAGCGGTGAGCCTCATCGACTTCACGGTTACACCTCACGCGGACGAGGTTGGACCATTTGCTTTGTCACGACATCTTGAGTGGAGACAATGATAGTCACCGATCGAGGCCGAGACTATACCCTATCACATTAGAACAGGCACGTAGGCGAGAAAGCGTTTTTTTTTTTTCTTGTTTGTTTGCTGAGCACTGATCTTTCTCTCCTGTGTAATCCCGTGGACTCACATGCCAGACAACGTAAAAACAGCCGACCCGACGTACTCGCGTACAAGATGGTGTAAATCAGCAATTGAACTCCCACCGCCAAACACAACCACGCCAAACGCACTGCGCATGTATCGGAGCAAACCTGGTGATCAAAATATGAGGTGTCAATCAGACAGAATCGGAGCCGCACAGACAGACCAACGCCGCAAAAGAGCGCGAAGGAGCGCTATTGCAAACAGTCGCTCGCCAATCCACCATCCACCGGATGCCCTGTAAGCGGTGTAGGAAAAGCAAAGAACTGAAATGATAGATATGATAGAACATGAAACCCTGTCAGACTTTTTTTGTTTTCTAAAAACGCCGAATTGCTTTTCCATCCTTGTCTGGTATGTCCTGTTTGGCCTGTCCAAGCCAACATGTCTATTTTGTAAACCAAGCTTAGCCCTCGCCCCCATCAAGCTCATCTGCCGGTGCTCTACACCGCTGACGGCCTCGTAAAAGTGTCGTAGAATCAGAAAAGCAAAAAAAAAAAAAACTAGTCTAGAGAAAAGAAATGTGATGCTTGCTGTTAAAAAAAGAGGTCATGGCGTGTCGGGCTCTGAAAGGAGACAAGTAGTGGTGTCCATGCGGTAGGTGAGTTGTGTAACCGATGTGACAGATGACGTTCCCATGTAAAGCGACCAGAACAGCCAATTGACCACTGATTGAAGCCTGTGAAGGCGCCCAATGATGTGAGGCAAATGACCATTTGGCATCTTGCCCTTCCTTCGTTCCCACTTGGAAAATAACCAATTCGGAAACACAGCCTGCGGTAACCCTGGAGGCTGCAGTGTGCAGCCCCGCCAATACAGCATACTTGGTCTTAGATGCCAAGTTCCCCTGAGCCAACGACCGTTCGCAGGCCAACGACAGACGCAAAGGACGAATAGGAAATCGGGGTATCACTAGAGGTTTGTTCAAAGAGACCCGTCACTTTTTCTTCACATGTCTCGCTAGAATCCCTTCAATATGGCTTCAAGCCTCGCTTGTCCATTGCCGATACCGTTCCACGCCGAAGGAGAGGCAAGCCGTTGCTTTTTTAATCACTGCTGACCAGTATTAGTGAGCCAGCTCAATAGTTCACAGTTGGGTAGCATTTTCTCTCCAGCCTGATGATGGCATGTCCAGCAGGGCTGAAACAGCGGCTAATTGCGTCGAGGATCTTGAGGCGGAAGTAGGATGTACCATGAACAAGGATCGAGATGGTAAACGGGAGCTCACCTGCATCATAAAATCAAAACGCCAAACGGTCGTACCTGGCCACAAGGAGGCAAAACCGAGCAGCCTGCGCATCTGGCAGGGCGATCAGATCAAGATGATCGTGTTCTAGTCGCCGTCATGCCTCGATCCTGACCAGATACACACCGTCCCTGCCTGATCTTAGGCACTCTGCTGACATGCACGACACGTGTGAAGCTTGCAATATCGGCACTCGAAGATCCACCAGTGAGGCCCAGAGTGACACAAGTTGCACGTCCACTGGATCAGTGTGTTGTCCGACTTGATCATTTTGAAGTCGTGGGTACAGTTGTTTGCCAGTGCCATTTTGGAACGGGGAATGATTCCACAGGTGACGGGGAGAAAGAATGTGCTGACGACCACTAGCGGATAAGATAGTTGCCAAGTGAAACTTTGTTGAAGGTGAGAGCAAGGTTCAGAGACAAGACCAGTGCAAGAGTGGGATCTGGCCTAGATTGATCGTGGTCAAAACCTTGTGTGTAAATAGGCAAGGTCTACACTGGTGTTAGTGAGAGGTTTTGCCAAATAGGTGGGATCCAAGAAGAGCAATGAACTTATTTAAAAGCATGAACCGAGACTTTGAGGCCTGACTCAAAAGTAAGAAAACAAAAATTACTCACATTGACTGACAGCTAGCAACAACTAAGAAGCTGTATCTGGGATGGAGTTGAGATTGGAAACAGATCTTTGGTGGCTGGTAGGGGTGGATAGAAATGAGGTGTCTGAGTGCCTCTCAAAACTGAAGTTCTGCGACTGGCGCAGACGGAGGGTTTTATGGGCAACAACTTCTGTGACTGACTAGGAAGAGCGCAAGTGCCCAACACGGAACGACCTGACGGGGAAAAAAGAGACGATTGTTTGTCATGAAGGGATCCGCAACGGGAAGATTGGTTTGCAGGGCAATTGCGTAAACGGCGAGGCGGCTTGTTCTGCTGAGGTGCGTTGCGCTTGTTGTGTGTGGTTTGATTATGAGACTCGGGTGCAGCTTGACAACGATAGGAGAGCCGTCGATACAGCGCAGCGGGTCGAGCCAGCGATATGTATAAATGTATGTACCTTATAGATGACGAAGAGGTACCTGGCAGTTCTGCTTCTGCTGCCATGCCGGCGACGGCATTACGACGAGCCACCCGGGTACCGAGCATAGGTCTCCATAATCATCGGCATGGATGAAGGGTGCAGCAGGGCAGAAGTCTGAATGAATGAATGAATTATGGGAGGGGATGGGATGGGATGGGATTGACAGGAAGGGACAGGGTCAGTTCCATGGATGGAGCAAGACCACACGAGCTAGGAGAATTTGTCGTGCGCAAGGTCTGACCTCTCTTTCTTCCCTTTTTTCCCCTTCCCTTTCTGCCCCCCCTACCGGTACTGCTGGTAAAGTGAATATTGCGCTCTGACAAGGGCCATCGTAGTCGGGTGTAAGTCGGTCTGGTCCGGCAAGGAACCAGGTT